CAAAGTACAGGACATCACACCCCTGCCTCCCAAAATTGCTTACTAGGCTAAGAGTTAACAAAACCCCCCAAAAACCCCACCCCAACAATCCTAACAAGAAAAAAAACACCAAGGAACAAACAAACAAACAAACAAACAAACAAACAAAAAAAGCTTTTTGTTACTTACTTGTGTCTTAACACAGTGCTCCATACAACTTGCCAAACACACATGCATTGTTGAGGGGGTTTTAGTTTTTTTAGTAAACATTTCCAAAACACATTAAGAAAAAATATTCAAAAGCATGAAGATTTTACAATTATATTAGCAGTATTTCATCAATTGAAGCACATTTTGAAATAGGAATTAATTTTTTTTAATCCTGAGCAGTTTCAGTTTGGCAGAAAATATTTCAAAAAACTCTTTTCAAATCACATGAATATTGACTTTATTTCTTACTTGGTTGGACACAGTATATGCTAAAATAAATCCCTAACGCTATAAGACGTGACCTTATTTTTTCATAGATCATGCCCTATTTGAGAGCAAGAGATTCAGGTTGCAAAAGGCAAAACAAATACAGAGCTGAGTTTTAAGCACAACTCTCAGGGGATTTCTCACTGTAACAGCTCCATGCTGCCAGAGGCATGTATGGACATGCCCTAAGGTCTCTCTGGCTATCCTCCCAAGGAGGCAAAGCAGTAAAATGAATAGTACTTCTGCTATACTGTGTTTACTATATGTAAAAACATTCTTTTGCAGAGCATAAATTGAGGATTATAGTTTTAAACAACTGCTCCAGGGCCAGACTGAATACTTAAACTCATCTGACAAAAAGAAGGAACTAGGGCTCTGTGATGCTGAATTTGGACACTTGATGCATATGGGGTCGTGAAACTCCTATTAAGCTTCTCAAACCTGTTGTTCTGACCAGGTGACCTACTATCACAACTACTTTAATAGCTTTAAAAAAAATGAGACATAAATATTAAAAGACAAACATAATTTGGGAGAAAGGTCCAACTCCATCATTTTTAAGTTAAACATCTACTGCAAGCAGAGTAAAATTCTTCCTGTGTGCAATGTGGAACCTCACAGTGTACACACAAAAAAACATTCAGCAGAAATTACTCGTGTGCAAACATAATCTTTCATGAAATGAGCTAGTAGGAAACTGGCCAGATTATAGCTAAGGGTAAAAAGAGTGCTCCTCAACTACCTTTTAAATTTTGAAACACTAAAATTATTGCTGGTACAGCTTCACGAGGATGTCAATTTTATATTCCTTTTCTGACTGTCCTAGAAAAAGATAAACTGTACATATAATTGGAAAAGCTGTTATATTGCTAACTAGAGAAAAGTTACAAAGCAATCAGAACTTGACTCTCAAGAAAAGCCAGACTATACATATTCCCACTCTACATAAACACAGGAAAAAGCAAGTATTTCAGCACAAGGAATGGCTTCATCTACAAATAGAGTTCTATGTATTTTTACACATGCTAAGGGAAATAAGTTTAAACAAATGGGAATCACACACCTGGAACAGTTTTTCATACCCAAGATATAGTCAGCGTTTCTTAAATAATTATTTAGTTTTGAAAAGAATTAATTTTAGAAGACATTTATTTTAACAATAACAAAAGAAAAGTCTATGAAAATGGAACTCTTTGAATGTGTCTGACATAAAGAATTCAATATGTTTGCCAGGCATTCAAGACTGATGCTGCAACAAGCTTTTTCAGTGGCACTGGAGCTGAGAGACCCACAGGTTCTGTACTTGGAGGCTCTGTAAGCAGTATGGTGACACCAGGTTAAAGAGAGCAGGTTCAAATCACCCTGGATAGGATAAGTACACAACCGAAAGGCAATTTTTGAGATTTGATGCTGTATGGTTTCATCTAAACAATGAGTAGGGCAACTAGATGGTAATGTAATACAGAAGCTTAACTACTTCTCCCCTGCTATCAGCAGGAGCAGGATATCTCCCACTATTCCATCCCTTCTGCAGAGAAGAATTTAAAAGCTCTGCCCCCTTTGGTGCTGAATTAACGCCTCACTGGATAAGACTCCACACCTGGAAGGGGAAGGAAAAGTAAATCCTTGTTTCCACCTCCATAAAAGAGCTAGCTTTTCACCTGGGAATGCAGGACCACAAACATTTAAATCTTTCAGGATACAGTGACTTACACTAGATAGGCAAATACATACTGAGGTAAAATTTCCAGGAACAGCTACTATTTCTAAGAGCTATTGGTCTCCTGACCATGCATAAATAGCAATAAGATCAGTGTAGTTACTCCATTAGTGTAGTTACTAAACACTTTCTGTTTTAGGGAGTGAAACACAAGCATGCAAGAACGAACATTTTCTGATTTTTTGATTGATTTTTCTCTTTTCTGTGAGATATCCCATTACAAAAGGAAGACGTACCATCAAGTCTTGGTAGCAAATCCTGTTTCAGCCACTGTAGTTCATAAGCTTTTTACATCTGTTTTAACTACTGCCACTAAGTGCCAACTTATCCTTAAGTTTATCTCTTTTCTACTTTAGAAAGGTTCTCAGGGAAAAATCTTTTAATCAACAAAGTAAGAATCCTGAAAGTCACTAATTCCAACCATTTGTGCCATGATCCTATCTCACCCACACTTTCACAAAGCCATCACGAAATCTCCCTTTATGCACCATGTAAATCAAGCAAAACTGAGCTACAGTAAAACTAATATAGACCTCCACTTGAAATAACTGTACTTCCAATTAATGCTGATTACTGTTAGATTTAATATAAAAATTAAAAGCCCTGGAACAATTGTGAAAATGGCAGCTGAGGTGGAAATAAAAGCACAGAGCAAGAAATCTGCAGTGAGTTTGTTGAAGCCACTACAAATAGGAAGTAGTTAGCAGAAGGAAAACCTTCCCTGTCAAATGGTAGATGAGGAAAGATCATAATTTTAATAAACTTTATTTTAATAAACTTTATTCCTCTTCCCCTTCCTCTTTTACACTCATATATGTATATATATGCAGAATGTGCTTAGGAGCAAAAGAGTGGAGCTTGAAAAATCACTCATCAAACAATTGTGCTACTTTTAATAATTTTTTAAAGGTCCTAAAACAAAGATCAAAAGGGAATATATCTAAGCATTTATATTCAATTCCACATTGCCTGATGACTAATTTGTAAAGAGTGCAAAAGTCTTCACAACTGCAGCCAAAATAATTCGAGGATACTTTGATATAATGCCACAAAGGATATGAGCAGGAAGGCAGCAGGAGTTACAAATGGCCAAGTTCCATTAAAAGTGCTAATAAAAGAATAATGGAATTTCCTTGTACTATGAATAAAAAGTGTTTGGTACAGGAGTATTTAGACATGGAGAGGAATATCAGAGCTTCTTGTTCATCAGTTGCGTCTCCTTATTAGATCTTACTTGACTTGTTATTACATTTACCTTAAAATGCTTCAGTTCCAAAAAGCAACAATCCCATTCAAAAATCTCATCACACAATTTTCCTTTATTCTTCATGTTTCTCCATTTTCACAGGTCCTTAATATCTGGTTTACCAATCCTCATAAATAATGGGAGACTATCTATAAAAAAGTACTTTGAAGTGATGGGTTTAACTTGAAATTATACATAATTATTAAAATTATAGAATATACCTACTGATTGACAATATTTTTTTAAACCATAAATTTTCAAGCTGCTAGTAACTACAGAACTCTCATAGCAACCACCTATCTGATAAATTTTATCCATTAATTTACACACTGTACTTCTTTCTCATAGACATATGTGCAGCTACACACATTTATGCATATGTTCACGCAAAGAGATAGGTGCACATACATACACACTTCTGCCACCTTCTTCTCCCAGATATAAAACCTAGCTGATTTTTCTAATGTGTTTGGTACAGGGCCAGGAAGAGAAGAGGTAGAGAGCAGAACTTTCCTTTGAAATGTCCGAACAGCAACAGAAACATCTCAAATCTTCCTTTGTTTTAATGGATACTTGCAAAATCACACACACTTCACAAAACAGAAGCAGCAAAGATAGACATTTCATGCTGCTGACAAATTGTTAAAGAGTTTTGTGCGCTTGCTTAAAAAATTTGCCCACAGATGCATCCAAGATAAGAGGAACTCCCCAAAAACATTTACAAACTTACTTTACTCTCCTTCAATCTGCTGCTTAATGCTCTCTTTTGCATAAGGTCTACAAGAACACCATGACATAGTTATTGCACAGAAATGCTGTGATCTCTGTCTCTTGGTTCTCCAAAATCTTCTTGTAACAGCTTTATTTTTTTATTTCACATTGCAATGTCTTTAAGGAAGTGACCTTTTTTTTTCCATTTAGTACGAATTATAATATATAAATTTTTTGTTTGGTTTTTTTTTGTTTTGTTTTGTTTGGTTTTTTGTTTTGTTTTTGTTTGTTTGTTTGTTTTGTTTTTGTTTTGTTTTTTGTTTGTTTGTTTGTTTTAAACAGAGTTCCCAGACTTTACAAAGAAGAATCAAGTTATAATGTTTATGAGCATTTCTTCTTCTTCCCCCAGACAACCATCAGGCTGCTAGCAAAGCAGCCTCTTCAAACCATGCTCCCAGAATCAATAGATAATTCACTAGTATCATGTATCTCAGGGCCTAATTGACACAACAGGCTAAGCAACATACTCAAGGGTAACACAGTTTCTAAAGAGAGAGCAAAAAAGAGGGGAATCCAATGCCACATATGGTCACTTTGCAGGATTTAGTGTCAGTCTATAAATTATACTAGACTTCATGAAGTTAATGTCAATCATGGGTTTCACAAATCAGAAAATGCACCTTCTCAAGCTTGGCTTGAAGAAACAAAGAAACATCTATATGATAGCAAAATTTAAGTAAAATGAATACCCTCACGCTTTCAATTTTATAACTTACTGTCATTTTTGTATTAAACATGAAATATAGTTATCACAAATGTCTGGAATTTTTCTTAACAACAAATATAGGTAGTATATTTTTTTCTTACCTTATGATCATATGGATTGTATGAATGAAACAGTTGGGACAGATCCTTTGTTCTCTGTTTTTTCTGTAAAGGAATATTAATAAATAGACCATATTAGAAAAGTTAGGGGAGAAAAAGAGACTACTGATTAAAAAGCTGTATTCAGGAACAAACACATTCTCTCCCCACTTTGTTAATGGAACTGTAGGTATGAAGAGTGGTGTATGCAGATGAAGGACATTAAATATTAGAGGAAATAATTAACATACATATTAACAATGTTAAGAAAATATCCTTAATAAATAATAAACACTAATCTGTGGAACATCAGTGGAATGTGTAAACAATTCAGATTAGTTTTAATTTTGCACAATAAAGTATAAATAACATTTTAGAATACAGATAACAAAACTTAGAGATTAGGCTACAATCTTGCAAAGACTTGTCTACTATTCTAGCATGTACGTGCAGTCTTGCCTTATAGGAGATTAGGTTTAAAGGAAATCAGTTTAAAGAAGAATAATTTATTATTTTTCTATTTCTTTTGATGCTAATACTCTCATTGCCTTGATTGTGGAAAATTAATAGGTGATATGCCATTTAGTGCCAAGGCAAAGGGAAAAAAATGTCTTCCGTCAAGAGCATTGTTCAAAGACAAAACCTGCTTAATCCAGCTTCTACTGAATTTAATGAAAGAGCTTTCAGTGATTTCAGCTGATGTTAACAGACTCTCTCAGCTGCATCCTATGGAGTGGGGGTGGGGAAAAGAGAAAAACACCCTTCATCTTTAATGCAGGGATGAGTCACAAATAAGTTCAAAGTTTTATTATGTCAAAATCAATGTTTACTTATAGTTTGGGAAGACTATGCGTGTTGGAAAGTGTGTTAAAGGCAAGACAACTGCATGAACTCCTTGTTTGTAGTTTGTACCAGTGTCTTATTTAGCCATCATTTATGTAAAAATAATTTTCCAGCTAAATTGGTAGGACCTGTTCATGTTTTCAGCATGCTGGGAACTAAATAGACAGCTGCATGACTGTAGTATTTATTTTAACTTCTGGAAACTACGGAGCAATTTAGTAATTTTTGATTGTACAAGATAAACTATGTATTTCCTTTCTTTACACAGTTTTTATTTTCAATGAAGCATTCAGCAACTTAGTCACAAAAGTGGTAACTTCTGTTACTAGCACAAATTTATGACATCTGGATATTCTGAATCATTAAAGATATCAGATTAATATTACTACTTTTGTCAGGTGTATATATACCTATGCTTTAGACCACCAAAGAGTCAAGAAAATAAATTTTTACTCACTACCCCTCTTTAAGGTGAGGGAGAATGGTAAATTTTGTTCTCAGTATGCAAAGGTTACTTCTGTCATTCACAATTCTATTCAGTTACTATATTTAATATCTAACAGGACTCGTTTCTCTGAGTTTAATACAGGGCTTTAAAACCAACAGAAGTTATATTAAGAAAGACATTTCTCAGTACAGACTTTCTCAGCAACTGAACATGCCTTTGCCATAGGAAAGATCTCCCTTGATAGAAGAAACTTCACCCTCTAACCCTCATTTGATATTTCTTTTACTTCCACTGGGGAAAAAAACCCATGCTCAAATGAAAGCATCAATCCAAATTCCAAACCAATCAACTTACAGTTCAAATCACCAACTTAAAATGGCTTCTTTCCTGGTAGTACCATTACACACAGTCAAAATGCTTAAAATACTATAAAGATGATTTGGAGAAATGTGATAATAAATTAAAAGGAGATATCAAAATTATTAATAAAAATATTGCTTTAAAAACTTATTTAATGTTGTAACATGCAAGAAGACAAAAGCATTTTACTATGGATTATGGAGGCCTTCACTGATCTTTCCAGGAAGAAAACCCTATGAAATTCAGAAAAAGTATAATTCTTGCTTTTTTTCCTGAAGATTATGTCTCTTGTATTCATTTTGATTGCAATAGCTTTAATAACACACAATAAAACTGTATGACAGAAAATGTCTATCTTTCAGACTTTCACCAAAATGCTGGCTACACACTCAGCTAGACTAGATGAAGAATGAAGATGGCTTCCCTTACACAACACACTGATAGTCTTCCACTTTTTATTATAGAAAATTATGGTTCCTTTCCTATCTTTCCACAAAAATTTTGGGTTTTGTACAAAACCAAAACACTCCTGACTAGGGAAATGCTGAAAATCCATAACACAGAAGAACATGGAATAAAACTTCTTGAGATGCACAATGCATCTTGAGATGCAAAAATGTCCCAAAATTCCCAGGATGCCCCATATGCTTAGCTGATGTAAATCTAAACAGCATTCGACAGTTTTGTATGGACTCTGAATACACAGAGATAAAAATGCCTTAAGCAGAGAGTAAAGGTTGCTTAGTGATAATTTGCGTCTTTCTAGAACACCAAGTGCAGTTAAACTCAGACCTTTAAAAAACAGAAATATAAGACATTTCAAAACACAGAGACTAAGGACAGAACAAGGAATTCATGATGCTCTAATGGTAATCTCTTCAACAGAAAGTACTTCAGGAAAATAACAAATTAAATAGCTACACCAAATGCTAAACACTGTAAGCTCACACACGTATATTGCACTTATCTGGTGATCCTTTTTTCATACTCAGGTGATAATTACCTGTCTTTCAGATGATTTTAATGTAGTCTAAAACTTGTTTGTTTTCCTTTCAAGCATGGTATCGTAGGTCTACAATGTTTATTGGGAAGGAGAACTACAATATTGCCAAGGTATTTTTATTACAGATTACTTAGAAGCTACTTAAATGGAATATTGTCAGTTTTCATCTAGGAATAAAAGGGACAAAATTAGTCCCCAGTATGAAGGTATTACTGATTTCCTTTAGACTTAACTTTCAGTTTAATAAAGTCTATTTTCACCTTCAAAGTTCTCAATAATTTCAGCCTAATACTGTGACAGATCTGCAGATTCTAGCAGATCCACTGAAGGTGTCAGCCTCAATATATCGCCAGCAAAGTTCTCCTATCTCTGTTTTTTTTGCTCCTATGATTTAAAATCTCTCCAGTAATTGGGGCTGCCTTCAGTAACACATACCTGTTCTGTTCAAATATTCTTCTTTTCCTTCATGAGCACAGTGAATAAGAATGTGTCAAGGCACCCAAATGAATGTCTTTATTTCAGTTCTCTTCCCTCACCTATCAATCTTCTCCCTCATTTCTGTTCTACATACTGTTGATCAGAATTAATAAAACAATTTTATATTGCCACTGGAATCTTACTTAATTTAGAGCTTATAGAGCATCTCACACCCTTGAGCAAGCTAACAACCAATAGCAATATTGTGTTTTTCTTTCAAACAAGTCTGGAAAAACCACAATACCTCCTTCTGCAGTATCTAATGGATTACATAACTAAGAGTTAAAACCACATTAAACTTAGTGGGTGAAGGAAAAAATTAACTTTGACAGACTTTGGGAGAAGAGTGAAGCAGCTTTGCAAGTATTTTCAGTTTTCTTCATCAGTATAACTGAAAGCATAGAGACTCCAGCATAACAGACACTTGCAAAAGCCATAAGATCGGAGCTTTCTTTTCTGAAAGAGCAACGTCTAATGCGTTTTGTGCTATGGCATTCTCTAACTTCAGCAACATGCATTTTCTGACCAGTAACAAAGCTGTGTCCTTCTTTTTCCCTATGTTACATCTGTGATCTCAAAACTAAAAAAGGCCTTGAGTAGTTCTAAACTCTGAACTTCCATAAAACAGAATGGAGCTGGGAGCACTCTATATAAAAACACCAACTGGACTAACTTTAATCTCCAAAGAGTTCCTTGGCAAAACATCAGTGAGAGAGATAGTAACTCCTCCAACCAAGGCATATTTAAAAGCCTTGCTTGGAGATTCAATCCATAAAGCCTTAAATCTATGTACCTACAACCACAATACAGATATGAGCCAAGCCACTGGAACCGCCATGTTATCGAAGTTTGCAGATTGCTTTTTGTTCTGCAAAACAACTTTCAAAAAAGTGATCAGAAACCAGTGAACCGATCTCTTTTGACCTTGAGTTATTCAGTGCATCACCCTCTTAGAAATGATCCTGAAAAAACCATTGTGCCCCAGCCAGATTTCTTGATAAAATCATCACTGATGTTCATTATGCTCTTGCATCTGTGCCCTGTGAGGTCTGAAAGGGCAGAAGTGACAATACAGGCCTGACAAGTTTTCTGCTTACTATGGCTAACTCACTTCTACTGATATGCTTCCTGTCTTTCTGATCACATCTATAATGAAGCATACAAAATAATTTGGTGATTGGCTAGTCTTTTTGATCTAACCTACCAGAATTACTATGTTAAAACAGACTCACTGTTCTACTTCAATTACTGACACAGGCACATATTCAACTTGCTTTAAGAAATTACTTTCCAATAATTTTTGATCCATACATTGAAAATATCACATCCTGTATAGTGTGTTATTCAGCACTCCCCCTCTATGTTACAGGACAGTGGACATTTTTTCCAACTCCAATTAACGACAGAACTGTATATTGATAATTCATTTTGTATACTCTTATACTGAGCGATTCTTTCAAAAAAATAGAACAGTTTTATGATTTCATGCAATGTGTTTTTCTCTAAAACAGAAAAATATATAAAATTTTACACACCTTTACTAACCATTAATACTAGAAAATTATTACAGACATTAAAGCAATCCTGTCCTCAGGATTATAGCAACACAAATAGTCATGGTTTAGTCTAGTTTACATTTTATGTAGAGATTCTGATTTATGGAAAATTACAGATATTTACAAAAAACAGCACAGGATCTTCATAAGAACATCTGCCAACCTATTTGAAAATAGTTTCTTGAAGGATTCATTTTCAATTAAACCATGTGCATTGCAATTTCCTCCTTATCTCCCATATAATTTCAGCTATGTAATACAGACTCTTCAATCCCATATATTCTACAAACATTGCTGAATTTTATTCCTTCTGGTACATTTCAGTTATTTTAATTTAGTTTAGTATTAATTTGCTATTATTGTCATTTTTCATTAGAGA